TCCCGATAGACAGCAGCACATACCGCAGTGCACAGACCCTGATAGATAGCAGCACACACCGCAGTGCACCGATCCTGATGAGCAGCAGCGCACACTGCAGTGCACAGACCCTGATGAACAGCAACGCACACCGTAGTGCACCGATCCTAATAAGCAGCGCACACCCCAGTGCACAGACCCCGATAGACAGCAGCGCACACCGCAGTGCACAAATCCTGATGGACAACAGCGCACACCGCAGTGCACAAACCCTGATAGACAGCAGCGCACACTGCAGTGCATAGATCCTAATGGACAACAACACACACCGTGGTGCACAGATCCTGCTACACAGCCGCGCACACCGTGGAGAATCTCTGGTTTGCCAATGAGCCCTTAATCACAGTGCGTGTGGCCAGCCATTCGCAGATCAGAAATGTGTCGGACTATGCCAGCCTGCCAAACATTAGATTGGAACAGTACTTGGCTATGCCACCCTGCCAAGCATCAGATCGAAATAGTATCAGGGTATGCCAGCCTGCCAAGCATCAGACCGGAATAGTACCAGGCTATGCCAGCCTGCCTGCGGGGAATCAAACAAACGCCCATACAATGAAAGGACAATGGGACAAAGGTAAACCTGGAGAGGGAGGAAGAAGAGGGAGAGCGAAGGGAGCAAAGAGAGAGAGAGGTAGGAGAGGAGGCAGGGGAGGAGGCAATGGCCCTAGTGGGAACCAGGACCGTCGTGCTTCCCCGAGCAACCCCGCCCCTTTACCTCCTTCTTGCTTGCCTTGGTTTTGCTCCTTCTCCTACTTGCTCCAGCGCAGCAACTCCGGTCCTCATTCCTCCCTGTTGTTCCGCCAGCGCTTCCGCATTCCCGCAAGTGAGGGTTTCTTCTCTCAAGTGGCACAGCCTCTCTTTTATAGTAGAGAGGCCAGGTGGTAGGACCCAAGTGCAGCAGTCCTAGGGCTAAAAATAGCACATGCCTGTGCTAAAATTAGCACAGGCCTGCGCTAAAATTAGCGAGGGACTGGGACAGCCCCGATTTTGGGACACGAACAGTCAGTCCCCTGTTAAAAATAGCACGGGCCTGCGCTAAATATAGCTCGGGCCTGTGTTGAAATTAGCGTGGGACTGCGCTAAAATAGCACGGGACTGGGACAGTCCCGACTTTGGGACACGAACAGTCAGTCCCGTGCTAAAAAAAGCACGGGCCTGCGCTAAATATAGCGCGGGTCTGTGCTAAAATTAGCGCTGGGCAGCGCTAAAATTAGCGCGGGACTTGGGATAAAAATAGCGCGGGCCTGCGCTATATTTAGCGCGAGCCTGCGCTAAAAATAACTCAGGCCTGCGCTAAAAATAACTTAGGCATGCGCTAAAAATAGCGTGGCCTGCACTAAAAATAACACGGACCAATACTAAATTAGTGTCGGGCTTGAACTGGCCCGATTTTTTTTTCTCTCTTTTTGTTTTTATCTGTATGTTTGCTCTCTAAGCCACGGCGACGCTCAACGATGCTCGTCCTCTTTGAAATTCTTTTTTGCCGCTCCCGGCCTTGCAGAGTCTTTCTGACAATTCGGAAATCTTGTAGCGGGGTCGTCCAAATTTTTCTGGTTTGGTCTCCAAGAAGTGAAATTCCGTATTCAACCCGTAAGCGGGCGCTTGGCGTTCAATATTGTTTGTTTTACCAGGTCGTGGCTCTCCGAAATTTGGTCGCCATCTCTCTAAAATTTCAATTTTCGAGACGACCGTTGGCGGAAAATCTAAATTTTAACGATGTTCTTGATGACGATCCCAGTGGCTGGACGGTCGGAATTATTTGTTTTGGCGGGAGTCCGGACTCTCCGAATTTTTGTCGCGAACGGTCCGAAAATTACACTTTTGCAAAAACCTTGGCGGAAAATTGACAACTTTTAAAGATATTCTTTACGCGGATCCCAGTAGTTGGGCGCGGGTCGTGGCTTTCCGAAATTTGGTCACTAACTCTCTAAAATTTCAATTTTCGAGACGACCATTGGTGGGAAATCTAAATTTTAACGATGTTCTTGACGACGATCTCAGTGGTTGGGCGGTCGAAATTATTTGTTTTGGCAGGAGTCCGGGTTCTCCGAATTTTTGTCCCTAACGGTCCGAAAATTACACTTTTACAAAAACCTTGGCGGAAAATTGACAACTTTTAAAGACATTCTTTACGGGGATCCCATTCGCTACCGGTTCAAAATTTGTACTTCTCCAAAATCCGTTGGCGGAAAATCCAAAATTGCGAATGATGTTCTTGACGTGGGTCGCAGTAGTGGGTGTTCTCATTTTATTTCGCCCGTTAGCGACGCTCTTCCGGCCGTCCTCTAACACACTTTCTCACGCTAACACCGAGTCTTCTCTTTTGTAGGTAACACCATCGTCATTTTTGATGCCAGATAGGTTGTCGTATCATGTCTTCCATGTCCAAGAAGTCTACGCTTGTTAGCGACGCTCTTCCGGCGGTCCTCCGACACACTTTATCGCGTTAACACCGAGTTTTCTCTTTTGTAGGTGACACCATCGTCATTTCTAAATGCCAGATAGGTTGTCGTATTATATGTTCCTACCATGGATTCTTTTACCGAAAGATGTAGTCAAAGTACTCACAAGATTAACCCCGTGAGATGGTTTCCAGACCTTTCTCAATGTAAGAAGAGTGTTGATGCCAAGAGTGTCAAGACGAAGAATAGCAGGTGGTTTCCGGACCTGCGTCAATGGTGTACGCGCGGAGGAGAGAAGCAGAACCCTCTACCGAAGCTCAGTGCAACTGGTGAGAGGACCACCAATGTCTGTTTGTTTCCGAAGCGTCCGCGATCGAACACGATAACAAGAAAGGTTATTGCGCCATGCCGAGCAGCAAACACAGTGATGGGTCTCTGCGCAACTGGCAAAACGGGGAGTACAATCCAGATAGAGCGCCCAGTGAAGCGGCAGTGCCCGAACGTTGAAGGCGAACAATCCAGAGAGAGAGACGATGTACAGGACATGAGCAAGAACTTTGTTGTGAAAGAAACGCTCTACGACAGCGTGGCGCAAGAATTGTGTGACAACGACACTGAGGAAGAGGAACCCAGTGACGACGTTGATGAGGAGGGCGAATCGAGCGACGACGATGATGAGGAGGAGGAAACGAGCGAGGATGCCGATTCAGAAGACACAGACTTTGAGGATGATGAAGGGAAGAACGAGTCGGGAATTGATGTCGATATGTTCAAGAAGAGTCTATCTGGAGAACTTTTAGGAGAGAGAAGAGGACTGTACAACAAATCAAGTAAGAGTGAGAAACCTCCTTACAACATGGGAAAGCACGGCAGGAACGCACGTGTGTACAACAAGAAAGCTAACTACCACGTGAACATGAAGAATGTCGAACTAGTTCTGAAGGAAGATTGCTGCAAGGCCAACTGTTACAAGAAGTTCACAGCGGTAGATGTTTTCTACAAGCGCGAAAATTTTTGGGCGATGAAACAACTTGAGCAACTGAACTTCTTTCTCGCAGAGATGAGGGTTGCGTCGTACTTTTCGGATGAGGGAGATTTAGAGGTGTTAAGGGTGACGTTCAACGGCGTAAAGGTTTGCACAAAAGCGTGGGGAAAGTTGTACGGATGCTCGACTACACGTATTGCAAAGATACGCAAAGAATTCAGAGAAGGAATGGTGTTGTACGAGCATGCAAACAAAGGATCAGTCAGATTATCTCCTTCATCACAGCAAATTCTCGCATGGTTGCATGAATATTTCCAATACAATAAAGAGAGTATGCCAAACAGCGACCAGTTTCATCTTTCAGATACTCTCCGACGCAGAGATGTGTATGACTTCTTCAAGCGAGACTGCAAAGAGTTGTACACGAATAAGACTCTTCCTTCCCGTTCCGGATTTATGACCATTTGGAGGGTTCACTGCCCGAAAGTTCTTATTCCTGCATTGAAGAGGTTCTCGGTCTGTTCCACATGTCTGAAAATCAAGACATGCCATTCACAGGCAACAAGTGTGTTCGAACGAGGTAATGACATAACCTCAGTGATTATTTTCTCTCCCCCTGTCTTCCTGACCCTTCTTCTCTCTCTCTCTCTCTCTCTCTCTCTCTCTCTCTCTCTCTCTCTCGTTCTCTCTCTCTCTCAGTGTTCATTCTTCGATGTTTGCCACATCGCGACTGATTGTTTTGAATTATATCCCTTTAAGTTGTTTTTGCAGAAGGTAGAGGCTGTGACTTGCACATTTACGGAAGGATTCTCATGGAACTCTTCTTCGTCTCTCCTATTTCTTCTTCTTCTTCCTCTCTCTCTCTCTCTCTGTCGAAATGTTCTTCGTGTAGAAAGAAAAATCAATCTTTGTCAGCGCAAAATGGGAAGGATTCTTATGAAAATAGTAAGTTTGGTAAAGAAAGAGTTAAACGTCTTCTCTCTGTCTTAGTTATAGCCCTATAACACTTTGTCTCTTATTCATCTTCGACTTTTCAGAGTTGAAGCCCTTTACCACTTTATCTAATAATCGTCTTCGTGACGCCTGCGTTGCCTTCCCCGAACTCGTTCAGTCAATCAAAACAGAAATTTTGGGGAAGAATGAATTGAAGATTCTGCGACGTTTATGGACTTACTTTTCCGAGTTATAGCCCTATAACACTTTGTCTAATAATCGTCTTCGACTCCTCAGAGTAAAAACCCTTTAACACTTTATCTCTTAGTCGTCTTCAATTTTAAAGCCTTTGTTATTAGTGACGTTTGCGTCGCCTTGCCCAAACTTCAAATGTTATGATGCACGACACTTGTGGACATGCTTTCCTGAGTTATAGCCCTAAAACACTTTGTCTAATCATTGCTTTTGATTTTAAGGCCCTTCATCGCGCTTTGTCTCTTTTCTTTAACATGTTTCGACAAAGTAACCGCTTGTTTTGTTATTTGCGCAGAAATGTTTGGCAAGGCACTAGAGAAGCACCAGTTAATGCAAGCAGAAGAGAGACAAAACCTCAGTAAGCATCGCCACAAGGCTTCAAGTCATCCGTCAGAGTATGTCGCAATGATCATTGATGGGATGGATCAGAGCAAGTCTGTGCTGCCACACTTCACTGAGGTTCCAAAGGATTCGAAACTAAAAGAAGGGAACTTTGTGAAAGTTCACGTGGTTGGGGCTAAGGTGCCAGGACTCTCATCGAACGCCTCTGCAACTGTTTTCTTTGACAACTTCAAATCAGATTCTAATTGCATGCTAATTGTTCTTCATCGTCAGATTTCTCAACTTCCTGTACCATTTCCGAGTGTCCTGTATCTTACACTTGATAACACTTCGAAAGAGAACAAGAACAAATTTGTGTTGTCATATCTCGTGTTCTTGGTGAAAATGAGAGTGTTCAGTAAAGTTAAGTTAAATTTTCTTCTTGTAGGTCACACGCACGAGGACATCGACCAGATGTTCAGCTGTTTCTCGAGAAAGCAGGCTGCACATGGTACGTTCGATCTTCTTGAGTTGCAACACGTGATTAGGGAGTCGTACAAAGTAGAACAAGATCATGGCGTGCACGTTGAGGAGATGACGAAAACAATGGACTGGAAGTTGTACGTTCAGGATCATCTACATAATGTCAATGATATTAGCTTCAACCAACATTTTCGAATCAAGCGCAACGACAACGGGGAGGTGCGCATTTGGAACAAGCAATATCATAACTCGCAGTGGCAGCCGAACGACAAAGAAGGTCTGGACATCTTCAAGTCAGAGCCAACAGGACAAGTTCAAGCTTCGCCAAAGCATGCAATTCGATCTTTGGAAGCAAGATATCGACTTACTTGTTGGGGTGAGGACGAGAAACGTGATAAGGTCGTCAGCAGTGAAGGTCATGTCTATAATAAAAAAGCGGGAGGATCTTCGAAATTCAAGGTTGACGATGATGTATTTTCCATCGCCGCCTTGAAAGCCAACGTACATGCCCCGTCGCATTACGCTCAACCCCACAACATTGAATGGTGGAATAAGTTTATAGCAACGCAGGAAACTTTCGACCTTGAGGACACAAACCTCAAAGAGTCTTTCGTGTGACCCTCTATAACAGTTGATGTCAGCAGAGCAGGTGAAGAAGTTCCACCAACTGCTAACGGCTTTGACCAATGCTGGGATGATTTTTTCCCTCCTGAGAGACCCATCTACATCGGCGCACGAAAGAGAAGACAGTTTCAAGAGGACATAGACGGAAAGTACGACGATCTCGAGGTCAACACTTTCATCGCATTACGAGCTTGTTCGGGGTAGGAAGAGAGAGGCAAACCTTACCACATTGGCAAGGTTGTCGAGCTGCTAGCGGGTGATTCAAAGTTGCTTGGTTTGCACAACGTGAGAAAGGAGAGGGTTACTATCCTCAGTTCAAGACAAATCCTTAAGGAAAGACTACGAGAGAGCCTTCCGAGGACGTCTATGACTGGAGCTGCGGCGTTCTTTGTTACAACTTCCAACTGAAGACAGACAGGACCCTCTTCTCGCAGACCAGAACAAAAAATCTCTGAGATGTTGAATTCCATGGCAACAAAGGATGTCGACTAGGAAGACCTTCTAGGAACCGATTGCTTCGAAGGTTGGCAAAGTGCCATCGAGATCGAGGTCATTTCTGCTTCCGCATTAGATCAGGTTTCCTTTTGTCGTTGTTCAACAGATTATCGGAGTTTAGTCGTAAGCGGCTTGTAAATTCTTATAAATATGTACAACAGTAGGTTGCAGTTCGCAGCCACGCACGTGTGGCCAACCTTTTTGTTATTTAAGTCTAGTCGTTAGCGGCTTATAAATTCTTGTAAATTTATACAACAGTAGGTCGCAGTTCGCAGCCAGACACGTGTGATCAACCTTTTTATTTTCGCTATCTTTTCCAAATGTACTTTGCGGTTTTTCACTTTACAATTTTGAAATTTTGGAAATTGACTCACGATTTGTCGTTTGGGTTTCGGGTTTTCGATTTGCGGTTTGTCATTCATTTTTTTACCAAAACATTTGTCACATGAACAATTGTCCATTTGCGGTTTGTCATTCAGACTCTCACGACATTTTGCTCTTTTCTACTTCCCACAAAGTCGTGTTAAGGACCTAGAAGGTCGTGTTCAAATTTCATTCAATTTTTACGACGTTCAACATTGCATTTACAGCGCTTCAAACACCTCACCGATTGCGGATCAATTTTTTGTACGCCCGCCAAGCTTCATGTCGAATTCTCGCGAAATTATGTTATTTTTGTACTTCCCTAAAATTCCCGTTATAGGCCTATAACTTCGTGTTCGAAGTTCGTGGAATTTTCACGACTCATAACACTATGTTTTTAGGGCTTTAAATACTCGACTGATAACAAACTAAAATTATGCTCTTTTTTTATTTTCCCAAAATTCGCGTTACAGGCCTATCAGGTCGTGTTTGAATTTTGTTAAATTTCCTCGATGTTAAACATTGCGTTTATCGGGCTATAAACACTTGACCGATTGCGGACTAAAATTATTGTATTTGTGTTCCGTTTTCAAACAGTCGTTAAAGGCCTTTAATTCGAAAAGTGCGGTTTCCGAATTTGGAGAGAATTTTTCAGGGTCTCCGTCAAATCTCGCGAGATTGGGCTCTTTTCTGCATTTGCGCTTCGAGTTATAGGCCTATAAGATCGTGTTTGGAAGTCGTTGAATTTCGGTCACGGTCGAATTTGGTCAATTCGGCTGTCCACAACTTTTGGAGATTTAAAATCAGTTGCCGTTGGCTGTTTTTTGCTTTCCTCTGCATCCCGTTTTTTTACTACCTTCGTTTTCAAACTTCTATTTCCTTGTTATTATGAGTGCAAAGAAAGAGGTTATGTTCGCCTTTCCAGGTTTTCGGTTAGTTCTTACGTCCTTGGATTAGGTTTCGGAAAAGGCTCTTCTGTTTTGAAACAAAATACTACTTCCAGTGTACAGTACTGACTGGTCGTTTCATTATGCACTGAAATCTCCATAAATTGGAGATCTTTTCGTCGGCCATGAGTAGGAGTCGCCTATTCGCCTCCAAAATGGGCTTTTTTTTTCCACGTTGTGGTCGACCTCGTATATTTACTGATTTTTAGGGGGGGGGTCGATGACATTTGCGCACGAAACGGTGCAAAATCCACCTTTACTTCAAAAAAAATGCTATGTTACATTGATGTTTTTATGTCTATAGGATTTATCTGGTTTTGGTCTGCTTCTCTGGTTTTCACGAATCCATTGTTCTCCGCAGAGAGGGATAAAACCCTGCGCGAGGTCTATCTGAGCAACCGTGAACGTGCGGCTGCCATCCTGTGCAACCCGACTTCACGAACGACCCATGGCGGACATGGCCATCTGCAGGCGCTCGGCCACCAGGATAGTGTCGTCATCCAAAGGATACTGGATGACGTCTTGAAGCTGAATGTCCTCGGGGGCGTCCCCAAGGGTAGGGTCAAGCTCGGCCGAGGCGTCCTCACCGTACTCCAGAGAACTATAGCGCCGAGAGAATGGCGCTCTAGGTCGAGCTGGTCGATGAAAGCGGCCGACGAAGGAGGATCTACCGCGAGTAGCACCTCGTGACTAGGTGGAGGAGGCGATGGATCGCGAAGAAGATGGGCCATTAGAGGAGCGACTTCACATCTTCTGGTACCGTCGAGCAACCTCGTGGGCCTGCTCTAAGGAGGCGTAGCTCTGTCACCAGTGCTCGATGCGGTAGTCAGTCAGAAGACTGACTACGAACCGGTTGGTCATTGCAAATGAGGCGGACGTTTGGAAACACTCTGATGTGACGCTCAAGATCGGCTGGTGCGGAGGACCTGCGCCACTACGTCTGGGTGACCCGATCGAAGGCGTCGGTCGCATCGTGGAGAGTGTCGTAGCGGTCATGGAAGAACGCGGTGAAATCCGTGAGAGTAGGAGCCTCACTTGAGCGAGTACGATGTGAATAATAGTTCTCTCATGCGGAGAACATGCTGCCTTGCAATTTAGTTGCGAGTGCGAAGCACTATAAGTCCTGACCAGTGTTAGTCAGTATCAGTGCAAGTGTGCTAGCCTGCAACCGGTGCGACACGCGCATGGTACCGTCGTAGTCGGGTATGTCCGACAAACGAACAAGGATGGGACTGCTGTGTTGATGGTGAGGGGAGAGAGGTCGATGGGCCTGCAATACGACGACAAATGTAGAGGCCGGTGCAGAGCAAGAAGTGGTAGCAGGCTTAGAGTCGGGACTGCTGGTGGAAGGTCTTGCAGACGTGGAGGCAACAGTTGTAGCCAACTGTGATGGAGTAGCGAGGTACAAGGGTCGAGGGGGGGGAGTCGGTCGAGGGAAACGAGTCGGCAAGACAGAGGTGGGAGGGGCGGTATAATAAGAAGAAGGGTGAGAAGCCTGTGCAGGGTGAGGCTCTCTCAGGGAGAGAATCTCCGCCTGGAGCTGTGCCACAGTGGCCTGTAGGGTGGCCACCTATTCGGTGTGCGGGGTCGAAGGTGGAGGAGGCGGAGAGAATACCCTAGCGGGAGGAGGAAGAACTCCGGGTCGTAATGCCGCGACCGACGCAGGAAGCTAGGAAGCAGCATTGGGGTGCGTAGATGAAACTGTCTTGCCAGATACCGGTATCTGCGTGACAGCACATGCGGCAGTGGCTGAGGCAGCAGAATCAGGGTTGTCATGCAGGGATCCCCGGGGCCCAAGCCGGGGTACGGGTTTCACACCCGGATCCCCGCCCCAGTTCCCTACCCGACCCTCGCCCCCGCC